ACATGGGGGGACACTGCTGCATGTGGGGACATGTCATGCCAGGGACACTGCCGCCTGCGAGGAAGCCCTGCTGAGCTGCAGGTGCCGCAGAGGTCGGAGTTGTCTTAGCCAGCATGGCTACTTCTAAGTGTCCCAGATGTCTCCTCTCGTGGCCCTGCCACTTTCTGGAGATGGGGATAGGATTTTGATTTTTTTCTTTTTCGTTTTTTGATGTAGTAGGCAGCCCTGGGTGTTGGGGTGGGGTCAGTCCGCTGTTGCAGAGAGGTGTCTAGGAGAGGGGGGAAGAGAATTGGGGAGCTGCAAAGATACCAGTACAGAGGAGAAAACCCTGGAAACAGGGTCCTCAGCAAGGGGTCAACTCTGACAGCACTACCCCGGGAACCACAGCCCAGCCGCCTGCCCGCTCCCAGCCGGCAGGAAGGAGTGCAGTCTTCCGTGTGTGGTGTGCTCTGGTGCTGGTTTTCAGCAGTTTTCTCTTCTAGTCCGTTTCTCATTCACACAGGGTCAGGGCAGGGTGCCACACTCAGCACCCAGCTCGAGCTGCGCCCACATTCCTGCTCCCCGCCCTGTAGGCCAGCACCCTGATTCCATAGCTCGCTCTGGGCCAGGAGATCTCATGGGCTGAGAAGCTCAGCGGGAAGGATTCCTGATGGATGCAGGGAGTGGACGCAGAGACAAGCCTTGTGTTAGCACGTGGTCACAACGGAAGGGCAGGGTAACGGGGTGGCACCTGTGTCCACAGCCCACTGCCCAGCTCACCCGTGGGACCCACCGGGCCACACACTGCTCGATAGGGGATGCAGGCATCACCATGCATTGTTAGGCGATTCCATCGCTGGGGACACCTTCACAGCACCCGCACGAGCCGAGGCCCTGCAGCCCAGCAGCCGCGCCGGGTCCATAAGCCTCTGCGAGGCCCATGATGCATCAGGAGGTCTGCGAGTGTCTCAGCCTGGTTGTAGACCACACTCCCACAGTGTATGAGGTGGGATCAAAGGGTGCGATGTGGAATCCAGAGAAAAATTAAACGTTACAGTAAAAGAAACTTTGCCACACATGCCCCTCCTGCTCTGAACGTCCCGGTCCCGTGGCCCTGGCTGCTCTGCAGCAGCTCTAAAAGTGTTCTTCCGCAATGTCCTTAGTCACACTGTCTTCTGACCTCAGAGGCTGTAAGAGGTGGCCTTCCCTGCGCGGTGCGACAGTGAGCTGCCTCTAGCCTGTCACCGCAGTGAGAGGACATGCATAGCTGTGGCGCCTCCCGGGAAGCATGTCTCTGACTCTCAGCGCTTCCTCAATGGGAGCTAGGAGTCAGAACAGCGGCAGTGACAGCTGCAGGGCTGTTGTGGAGCTGGAGCCGCTGTGTACGCAGCACCTGTGTGTTTACTTTGCCTGGGATGTTGCCCTCTGGAGATCAGCTACGTGATACAGACGGGCCATTTCTGTAAGCGAATTCAGCATTGGCAGAGCCTGGTATGTGGAGAGTCCCAGAACCAGTTTCCTGTCTAGCAAGAGGCGCCTCTGTATGCACACAGGCAAGCGTACACGCGCGTGCGCGCGCACGCGCGCACACACACACACACACGCACTGTGCAGGTGCACGTATGTGTAAGGTAAGTGCTTTGAAGAAAAGCTGACCAAGGCAAACAGTGAGGGTGAGCAGCTTGCCCGAGAGTGACCCGGGTGGGCCCTGGCAGTGGTGCTCGGACCCCGTGTGCGTGAGGGCGTGAGGAGCATTCGCACGCAGCCCCGGCTGCGGCGCCGGAATCGGCCCTGCTGTGCACAGCCCTGCATGGGACAGCGCATGGTGCCTTTCGCTGGTACAAAGGGACGTCACAGTCACAGTCACCGCGACACCACCCACACCCTGCTCCTTGAGGAGCCTGGTCTCCGCGGCCAGGGGTGCTTGCTTCCTCAAGCCCACAGTAAAATCCCTGTGCTTTCGTTTGCCCTCTGACAACAGCCACGTCCTCAGCAAGCTCGGTGCGTACAGTGCGAGGGATTGACTGGATACGAGTTCTCTTCAGCTTGGTTCTGTCAGTGTCAGCTTTAAAACTGAAAAACTTACAATGTGTTTTTACTCCTCTTCTGCCTAAAATGTATCCTCTGAATCCAGATAAAGCTCCAAGTTCCCCAAACTTCCTCAAAGTTAAAATTTGATTTGAAAAATTCCCGGTAGGGCATGTGTGAACCCCGGCACACACACAAAGATGAACAAAAACACTTTCTGGCTTCCGCTGTGACCGTCGCGGCGCTTGCTCAGCGCACCTGCTGCGCATCCGGTGGCTCCGGACTTCTCAGCCCTCTCTGTGTTCCGCCTGAGGGGGAGCAGCCCGGCCAAAGCCTGTGGGAGAGTGTCCACAAGCCCAAAGGGAGCAGGGACAGCAGGGACATCACCAGACACACCAGACTTTGAAAGAAGTCATCAATCCCACAGAGCCCCCATGCTGCAAGGCTGAGGCAGGAAGACTGGGAATTTCAACCAAACCTGCGCAAATGAGCAAGATTGGCTTGTCTCAGAAAAATACCAGAAAGGGTGGGGAAGTAGCTCAGTGTCGAGGCCCTGGATTCAATCCCTAGTACAAAAAATTCTCACTCGCACCCACGCTTATGCTTTCTTACTTCCCATCCACCCAACTACCAACGTCTTCATATAATGGCCAAGTCTTAATGTCAGACAGATGCAGCCAATGTCAAGGAACTGGATTTTGAATAGACAGTAAAAGTGAATAACCATAAATTGGACCAAAAGTGAGTTATCAACTAATCTGATCAAGAGGGAAAAGAGAAAACCTACTATGTTGTACAGATTATTACGTTTTATGATGAATCCTGAAGCATGTCATTGTGGGGAGAACCCTAAATTAACTATTAAAGAGCTGTAATCTTTTCTTCTTTCTTAAGTTTACATCAGTGGTTGATGTCTTCATCAAGGCATCTTTGGGTCAGAAGGAGTTAGGGTAATCCCCAGGAGCTAAGGGCCGTTCCCCAGCTTGGTGTGTCTTGTACAAAGAGCCCACTGGCCTGTTTGGCAAGGTGCACTGCATGTGCTGCACGGGAGCCTCGCTCACTACAGGCCACTGCACAGAACCGTGGCTCTCTGTTCCGTGGGGCGCTGTGGCACTGCACATCAGAGGGATGCAGATAAAGGCAGTCAACAGGCTGGAGTCTCCCTGCCCCTTCCTGGTTCTGGATGCTGTGGTGTGCGTACCGTGAGCGCTTCCTGGCTCAGCCGCTATTCCCTCAACCACCTCATTGTAGGGCCATGACTCAGTCAGACCAAGGAGCGCCCACGCATTACGGGTATAGTGTGAAGAATTGAACAGGGAAACACTGTGCATCTAATTCTGTCTCTTTCTGGTGGTGGCCTAAGTTCAGTGTCCCTGGGCCTATGTGAATGAATAGTGGATGTCCTAGAGCTGGGTAGGAAGGTTGGGCACACACAGGCGAGGACGGTGTGTTCCAGATGCAGCCCTGGATGCTGAGGAGGGACTGAAGGGGAAGCCAGCAAACGCAGACTGTGCTCCCCAACAGGCAGCGGGTGGGGTGGCTAGCGGCAGGGAAGTGCGCAGCTTGTCACAGCAGTTCCGCCTTACAGCGTTCCTCCAGGCTAAGGCAGGAAGACTGTGAATTTCATCTAACCCTGCACATATTGGCAAGACAGACCCTGTCTCAGAAAAATACCAGAAAGGATGGGGATGTAGCTCAGTGTCGAGGCGCTGGATTCAATCCCTAGTACAAAAAGTCTCACTCACATCTGCATCTATGCTTTCTTGGTGACCACATGTGCAAGGCCCTGGGTGCTAACCCCAACACCACCAAAAAAGTTTTTAAATGCTTACTATTAGAAAAGGCCCAGGCTGGGGAGGTAGCTCAAGGGCATAAGTGCCTGCCTGGCAAGCGCAAGGTCCTGAGTTCAATCCCCAGTACCACAAAAAAA